TATTAAATTGGCAAGGTCAGTACTTGAAGGTAACATTTTCCCTGTAATAATTGTTTTAGTTTCATTCACCAATTTTTTGATGCTATATATTGTAAGATCGTACACTTCACACTATTCTGTAATTTTCCTTTGTTTTTTCTTTAATATTTCACAGTATGCTACTTAATTGAAAATATTTGCAGTTTTTCTAGCTATGTTGTGGTTATTGATACCTAATTTAATTATATTGTGGTCAGAAGTTACTCTATATGATTTAAATTCTGACTCAGATTTATCATGGGCCAGCTTATGCGCCCCCTCCCCAAAGTCAGGGCACATGCCCAGGTTGTGGGCAGGATCCCCAGTGGGGGGCATGCAGGAGCGGCCCATCATGTTCTCTCTCATGGATGTTTCTCTCTCTCTCTCCCTCTCCATTCATTTCTCTCTAAAGTCAATAAAGAAAACAACATTTTTTTTTAATTATTAAAAAAATTAAGGTCTAAAATTCATGACCAAAGATTCTGCATTGAAACAAATTTTTAAAAAAGGCAAAGTAAACTAATCATATGTTGAAACTAGAAAAATTAAAATATATAGCAAAATAAAAGCCAGGCAAGCTGTAGAAAATAGCAACGCGGAAAGCTTAATTTTTTACTCCTAAAACCTGAGACACAGAGACAGGGCTCACCAGACTCGGCCTCCTGCGCCCCTCCCCAAGGGCAGTGTAGAGGGGCTGCGGCCCGGGCCTCCCTCCTCCTGCCCAGACTAGCGAGGAGTGGGCGGCGGAGCCCCTGCCCAGAACTCCACCTGCACGGCCCAGGGCTCACCTCCGGCTGGTGAGCGCGCGGAAGCTGCCCGCTCCCTCGCGGCTTCCGAGCCCTTCGAGGCACAGCCCCCACTGGAGGGCACGCACACAGGCGCGCGACAGGTGAGGGCTGCAGACACCCTGCGGGACGGTCCCGTGGCCTCTGAGGACGGTCCGGCCCCCGCGGGCTCCCCAGGTCGAGGCGGGTCCCAGAGGACCCGATGGCCTGAGTCTTCCCCGGGCCTGCGCACCCTCGGGCACTGGGGCGGGGCAGGTGGGACGAGGCCTGGCAGGTCAGGGAGCCCGAAGGCCGGCTTCGGCTTTGTGTGCCCCTGGCCCCGGTGACAGGGCGGGGGCCGGACCCCAGGCACACGGGCGGGCGGCCTCTGGGCCCAGCTGGGCGGGAAGGCAGGTTGGTGCTGAGGCCGAGGCCAGTGCTGGCTGGAGCCACGCTGCCTGGGGCTCTGCTGAGGCTCCTGTCGGCCTGGACCGGAAGTGGTTACCGGCAACATGTTTTCTCCGTGGCTCCCGCGGATCTGTAGCCTGGAGGGCCTCTTCCTGGTTCCTGGTTCCTGGTTCCTGGTTCCTGGTTCGTGGTTCGGAACTGCAGCCTGGAGAGCCTCTCCCTGGTTCCTGGTTCGGAACTGCAGCCTGGAGGGCCTCTTCCTGGTTCCTGGTTCCTGGTTCGTGGTTCGGAACTGCAGCCTGGAGCGGCCTCTTCCTGGTTCCTGGTTCCTGGTTCCTGGTTCCTGGTTCCTGGTTCCTGGTTCGGAACTGCAGCCTGGAGGGCCTCTTCCTGGTTCCTGGTTCCTGGTTCCTGGTTCGCAGTTGGCAGCCAGAGGCTGTGAGGCTCCTTTGTTCCCGTGGCCCTGTTGAAACTACTGGGAGACTGGTTTTCATGATTGTGGGCTCGGGAATGTTCCAGAAGCCATTATCCTCAGCCCCGCAGCACTGTCATTAACCTTCTCCAGGTTGCTGTAGTTAACAGTCCCGGCCAGTCTGTGGCTGCAGCTGCTCCAGGAGCTGTTGGAAGAGCAGAGTCACGTTCTTGCCAGGTGCCAGGTCGTTCATCTTCTCTAGCTCCCGCTCTGAGTGCGGATCTTTGATCTTCCTTCTCCGTCTCTGGGTATAGATGCATACTTACACATATACATTTCACAACTAGAAAAGGAAATAATTATCAGAAAACATTCTCACAAAGAAAACTTCATAATCAGATGTTTCCACTGCGAATTCTAACCGTCCGCCCTGCAGTTTTCAGATAAAGTGGAGGAGGATGGAACTCAAAGATACCGTTTAAAACCAGCAAATCCTAAACTTGTATCCTGACAATAAAATTAGAAAGAAAACTTTTCAGAAAATATCCATCATAAAAATAAGCATAAAAACATTTAATAGGATTCAAAATCAAACCAACAATATATGAGTGAATTATTTTATGAACAAATAGGTTCAATTCCAGAATAGAATAATTTTTTAATTTACTTAAATTAAAAAGTATAATTCACCCTGGCTGGTTTGGCTGAGCGGTTGGAGCATCAGCCTGCGGACCAGAGTGTCCCGGGTTCAGTTCCCGCTGGAGGCAGTACCAAAAACAAAAACAAAACAAAAAACAAAAGTGTAATTCATCATATTTACAGAATGCATCTAGGAAAAACATAAAGCTAATATCATATTTAATGCTTTTCCTCTAAGATTAGGAACAATACAGTAATGCCTGCTCTCACATTTATTTAACATTGTACTAAAATATTTATACTTAATTCATCTGTATAAAAATATACCATTTAATTACCTGTGTAGGTTCATGTATCCACCACTATAATCAAGATGTAAAACCATCGCACAATTGTCTTTCTTTTATGGATTTCTAATTTGATTTGATTATGGTTAGATAACACATTCTGTATGATCGCAGTTCTTTTAAATGTGTTGAAGTTTGTTTCATGACCTAGGATATGGTCACTGTAAAAATGTGCACTGTTATGTTGTTAAGTGAAATATTCTATATAAGTAAAATATATTCTTTTGGTTGATGGCATTCCTCAGATATTTTGTGTCTTTGCTGATTTTCTTTCTAAGAGTTTCTTTAATATTTGAAGGGAACAGGTGGGTTAAAGTCCCCAACTGTAATCGCAGATTTTTCTATTTCTCCTTTTAGCTCTATCAGTTTTTGCTTTATACAGTTTGAGTCTCTGTTGTTTGGTGTGTACACATTTAGAACACTGGCTTCCTTTAGGGGAAGGAAGTGTTATCATTATGTGTTTGAGAATAGGAGGCTATGTTTCCAATGGCCGTTTAGTTTTTGCCCAAGCCTTTACCAGTGTTATTTTTACTTACTTCGTTTATCTGGTATTGCTTGAGCTCCTACCAGTCTCTGTTGATGTTGCCAGAGTGGGCAAAAAAATTTTCCCAGACCAACCAGGAGTGTCTCCTGGTGGGGAAGGCAGGTGTTGGGATCATTTTATCAGTGTCACCTGGTTGCTTTGATATCTCCAGATGGCAGAGAAATGTCTCTGCCTGTGGAAATAAACAGGCTTGCAAGACTAGGACACTTACTGTGACTGCATTCTTTTTCTTATTCCACCTGTGTCTCTGTGCAGGGGAGGAGAGTTTCAGGCTTGTGAGATGAAGCTTCCCAAACTGGGAAACCTATTGTAGCCGAGACTCACTCGAAAGTTCCACTCTCCTACCTGTTTGTCTGACAGGAAATGGCTGTCTTAGCACCGGTGGAATAGAGAGTGCTTCCCCTGGGCACTAGTTTTTTGGGCTTCTGATTAATACCCCTTGCCATTGGTGTCCAGCTTGCCTGATGTTGCTGTACGGACTCCCCTGTAGTCATGGGGAGGATGAGCCTGCCTGCTCTTGCTAGGTTCAGGATGGGAAAGGAAAACATTCGATCTGTATTGCTTTCCTCTGTTTGTTTGGAAGATGCAAGGCACCCTGCCACTATGCTATTCTTCCATTCCTATGGTCATAAACTAACTTCTCACCTTCCTGCTACTACCTTCAGAACTCTCCTTCTTTCTTTTGCCATTTGTAGGTTTTATACTTGTACTTAATGGTGAGCAGAGAGAGCAAAAATGGGTCTATACCATCTTGTCCAGACTGGAAATCTCTCAAAGAAATTTTTAAAAAGGAGAAAAAAATTGAGAATTTACTACTTAAAGCTACAGTAATCAAGAGAATATGGTATTAGCAAGATGATAGACACTAAATCAACAAAGCAGAATAGAAAAATATGGAAATAGAATTATCATATATTGTTAATTGATTTTCCATAAAGGCTCTAGGGCAATTAAATAGTGTAATGGAAAGATTTGTAAACATTTGGTGCCTGAGGAATTGGATATTCATATGAATAAAAATAAAGCTCAAATTTTACCTCATACTGTACACAAAAAATAAACAAAGTGAGTCTTAAATCTAAATATATAGGCTAAAAATTATAAAAGTTCTATAAAAATAATTTGACATTGACAAATATTCCTTAGTAGTATAAAGTAAGTACCATAAAACTAAAACAATAGATGATGAATTAGAAATTATCATAATTAAAAACATTTGATCATTAAAGGACACTGTAATAAAATAAATAGCAAGACACAAATTGGAATAAGTATTCTTAATAAATCTGACAAAGGACATGGTATTCATAATATTCAAAGAACTCTTACAACTCAGTACAGTCAGCCCTTCATATCTGCAGATTACACATCTGTGGATTCAACTAACCATGGATGGAAAATATTGGAAAAAAGTGTTATGTTGTTGCTGACCTGTACTATGTGGTTAGGCCTCTGATGGTTGCATCTGCACTGAATAGTACTGACTTTTTTTCTTGTCATTATTCTCTAAATCAGTGGTTCTCAACCTTCCTAATGCCACAACCCTTTAATACAGTTCCTCATGTTGTGGTGACCCCCAACCATAAAATTATTTTTGTTGTTACTTCATAACTATAATATTGTTATTGTTATGACTCGTAAATATCTGATATGCAGAATGTATTTTCATTGTTACAAATTGAACAGAATTAAAATATAGTGATTAATCACAAAAATAATATGTAATTATATATTTGGAAATACTTATTTCTAATTACAAATAAATGAAATTTTGTCTTGAAGCATGGTGTAATATGGGTAACAGTCTTTATATAACAACAGTAAACCACATTGCTACATTTTGCGACAGTATGCATAAAAAGCCAATGTCAGTGGGAAGGTTAAGATTGCTTCCTTCTTACCAGATCAGAAATTCTTGGGGCAGTCTTTGCAAGAGTACAACGAAGACCATCTTCCACAAGTCTACTTCTGTATTTAGATTTGATAACCAACAACCTGGAAAACCCTGTTTCACAAAGATATGTTGTTGGAAGTGGAAGAAGAAGGCACAACACAATTTCAGACAGAACAGGATATGACTGCAAACACTTGATCCAGAATTTTGTTACTGGCATTGCAGAGAAATCAGTTCTCGCTGCATCGCTGTTAATATGTTCAATGAACTCCTCTTGTGCTGTCTCAGGAACATCTTCAACTTTGACTGTGAATGGGCTTCTGGCAAGTGCAAATGGGGTATCAGGTAGATTTGGAAAGTACAATGAAATTTCCTCTGCAAGCATGTGCAAGTGTTCTTTCACAGAAATTATCATCATAATCCTTTTATCTGGTTCAATGTCATGTTCCTCAAAGAAAGCAGATGAGGTAGGCAACATGTAAATTTTATTTTTATTCAAAAAAATTTTTTTTCCCAAAGCTGAAGTTTCATTTGGAATGATTGGATCTTTTCAGACAAATCAAGGCATGTTGCATTTGGTCTTTGCAGTGATAAATTTAACTCATTCAAGATGGCAAAGATGTCAACCAAGTAAATTATTTTCTGTAGTTCACTTTTGTCGTTGAAAAGTGCTTCGAACTGCAGTCTTGCTTTCTGATTAAAAAACATTTTGAATTCATCACAAAGCTCAAAAACACGTTTTAAAACTTTTTCTGTTGACAACCATCTCACTTCAGTGTGAAATAGCAGAGCATTGTTCAGTGCATCCAACTCGTTGCACAGTTGCAAAAATAGTCGACTGTTTAAAGTGCTCGCCTTTACAAAATTGATAGAATTTATGACACTTTTCATTACTTCTTGTAACTCTTGTGGCAGCATCTTCATTGCTAATATTTGCCGATGAATCATACAGTGAGTTCTGATGATTTTTGGTGACTTATTCAGTACCAAACATTGAAATCCAGATCGACATCCTAGCATAGCTGGAGCACCATTTGTGCAAACACCACAAACCTTTTTCCAAGAGATCTTATGCTCTTTCAGAAATGAACCAACTGTGTCAAATACATCATGTGCAATAGTTGTCATTTCAAGAGGTTTGCAAAAAAGAAACTCATCTTTAAAGTCGCCATCATTAATATACCTCACGTAAACCAGAAACTGTGAACAGTTTGCAACATCTGTAGATTCATCAAGCTGGATGCTAAATATTGGAAGTGGAGCAGATTTAATTTTCTAGATTACCTGATCAAGAATATCAGTATCAGACATGTCATCTATTCTTCTGTGGTCAGTGTTGATAGATAAGGAAATTGCACTCAATTTCATAACAAATTCGTCTCCGATCATAACGCAATGTCTTTGGCCGCTGGCAACAGTAAGTCCTCAGCAATGGTGTGAGGTTTCATAGCTCTGGCGATTCTCAGTGCCACCAAAGAAGAAGCTTCAACGGCTTCTATGTTTGGTTTGTGGTACTTGCCACCAGTGTCAAGTCTGGCTTTCATGAGTCTATCAGCTTTGCTTCTAAAATAGTTGGTGTCCTTGCCGGCAAAGCTCAGATGCTTGCTATCGAAATGACGTTTTGGTTTGTTTGTCTTCATAGATTTGGCTGATAGAACTTCACAACAAATAACACATGGTGTTTTCTTAATTCCTGCTGTAATTATCGAGGTAAAACCATACCGCAAAAATCCTCTCTATATTTTTATTTCTTAATATTCTTCTCTACACCATTCATTGTCATGGGATGGTTTCCTAATGAAAATAATATATAACAATAGCTTTAATAGTACAAAAGATGATACATGGCATAGTTTAGTCAATACAGTTTACTGAAGTTTCCTATGGTTTACCATTCTCTGTGTTGTTGTTTTTACATACCTGTTACTATCACAAGGGGCAGTATTCACATCAATCACAGCTGAATATAAAAAGACAAATCAGCATCCATATTAAGTTCCCATGGTACAGATATATTTTTTTTTTTTGCTTTAGTTGATGATTTTACAGTACATGATTTTACATTTACCCCGTAATTATAATTCATTGTGTCATTTTACCTCCAATACAGTAGCTGCTTTTAACAGAGTAGAAGCTTTCTACACAGTAGCTGCTCTCTACACATGTGACTGGTTCGCATAAGTACATTATAGCGCCAACCCTGTCACATATACCTGTATTTGTATGGGGTGTATGTGATGGGGTTGGTGCGATGATGTCGTCACACTGGGAACTCGTATGTGGGCATATCTGTTTGTGAGCGTATCTGCATGTGGGCGGACCCACCTGGAGACAGAGGAGCCATGTCTTGGTTCCTAAGACCATCAAAAATATGTGTTTTCCAATGGTCTTAGGCGACCCCTGTGAAAGGGTCGTTCGACCCCCAAAGGGGTTGCACCCACAGGTTGAGAACCACTGCCCTAAATAATACAATATAACAACTACTTACATAGCATTTACATTGTAAAAGATATTATATGTAATCTAGAGATAATATAGAGTATACAGGAGGATGTCTGTAGGCTATGTACAAATACTATTCCTTTTTTTATAGGGAACTAGAATATCTGAGGAATTTGGTATTCATAGCAGGTCCTGGAACCAATCCCCCACAGATACTGAGGAACAATCATCATAAGTAAAGAATCAAACCAATAGAAAAAGTACACAAAAGATTTGAACAGATGATTCACATAAGAGCATATACAAATGTTAGTAAGCATGCATTCTCAATATCATTAATCATTTGTAATCAGTGAATTACAAACTAAAAACTCAATGTGTTACTAACGCATAACTCTTACAATGGCTAAAATGAAAAAGACTTAAGTTCACAATTATTGGTAAAGATATAGAACAACTTGAACTCTCATACTTTGCTTTGAGAATATGATATGATACAACCAATTTGGAAATCTGTCTAACAATTTCTTTACAAGTTAAATATTCATCTATCAAGAAATTCGGTCATTCCATTCCTAGATATTTACCCCATAGAAACAAAAACATAAGTCCACACAAAGAACTGGAGGAGAATGTTCATAGGAGTTTTATTCATACTAGTGAAAAACAGAAAACAATACATGTGTTCATTAACTGATAAATGGCTAAGCAAAATGTGGACTATCCATGCAAAGGAATACTATTCAGCAATAAAGATGAACATGCCAATGTTCCAGAAAAACCAACATGATGAATCTTAAAATCATTATACTGAGTGAAAGAAGTCAGAAGTAAAAGTATCTATGATGGGTGATTCTATTTACATATATTTTAGAAAAAAAATTAATCTATATAATGCTATGATTACTGTAGCTTTGCAATATAATTTGAAATCAAGAGTGCGATGCCTCCAGTTTTGTTTTTCTCTCTCAAGATTGCTTTGACTATTTGGAATCTTTCATGGTTTTATACAAATTTTAGGACTGTTTGTGAAGAATGCCATTGGAATTTTGATAAGGATTGCATTGATTCTGTAGATTGCTTCGGGTAATGTGGACATTTTCACAATATTCTTCCAATCCATGAACACAGAGTATCTTTCTATTTATTTGTGTCTTCTTTAATTTCTTTCATAAAAATCATATAGTTATCAGTGTATAGGTCTTTCATCGCCTTGGTTAAATTTATTCCTAGGCGTTTTATTATTTTTGATGCAATTGTAAATGGGATTATATTTTTAATTTTCACTTTTGCTAGTTTGTTGTTAGTATATAAAATGTAACAGAATTTTTAAAATAATTTTCTTTATTGATTTTAGAGAGAGAGGGAGAGAAATAGAGACATTGATGAGAGAGAACATTGATTGGCCGCGTCCTGCATGCCTCCTTTAGGGGATCAGGCCCACAACCGGAGCATGCGACTCAAATGGGAATCAAACCAGCGACCTCTTGGTGCATGGGTCATTGCTCAACCCCTGAACTACACCAGCTAGGTGTAAATGTAACAGATTTTTGTATGTTGATTTTGTACCCTACAATTACACTGAATTTGTTTATTAGTTCTAACGGTTGTTTGTTTGTTTTTTGTCTTTAGGGTTTTCTCTGTGTAAAACCATGTCATTGGTAAATAGTGATGGTTTTACTTCCTCTCCAATTTGAATGCCCTTTATTTATTTATATCTTTAAAAATATGTTTTTATAAATTTTTTAGAAAGAGAGGAAGGGAGAGAGATAGAAACATCGATGTGAGAGAGAACCATTTATCGGCTGCCTCCTGCACGCCCCTACTGGGGATCAAGCCCACACCCAGGCATGTGCCCTGAATGAGAATGGAACCGGGGCCTCTCAGTCCATGGGACAACGCTCAATCCACTGGGCCACACCTGCTCGGCAATTTTTTTTTTCCTACGTAATTACTTTAGCTAAGACTTGTAGTACTGTGTTGAATAAAAGTGGCAAGTTGGGCATCTTTGTCTTGTTCCTGATCTTAGAGGCAAAGCTTTCCTTTTCACCACTGAGTATGATGTTAGCTGTGGCCTTGTCATATATGGCCTTTATTATGTTGCGGTATGTTCTACCTGTACTCACTTTTTTGAGAGCTTTTAAAAAAATTGTAAATAGATTTTAAATTTAAGTCTGCTGTCTGTGCAGTGGCCTGGTGGTGGCAGCCTTCCAATAACTTTTTAGACCTGTGGGGCCCAGAAGTGCTACCTCCCCGGCCACAAGAGCCAGGCAGTCAAGAGGCATCCCCTGTGTAGACTGTGTATGCAATATTTACCTGCCTGGCTTAGGAAGGATTGTGGGAGTGGGTGGGGTGGAGTGTTTGTCCAGCCAGTTTGGAAGAGTGTAAATATAGCACCCGCACTAATTGTGTTTCTCTGTCTGGGCTATATATTTCTTCCATTGTTGTCTTTTAATCTTGTCCCACTTATTCATTTGCCTTATCCTGACCTATTCCAGAATGACACAGTTAAGTAAACACAGTATTTCCTGATCTAATCAATTGTTTTAACATCTCCATAATTAGTTACATTTCTTAATACTGCTATTTGTTTTTAACTACCAATGATAATTAAATTAATATTTTTTTTAAAAACCTTAGGCCACCAATGAATGATGCCTATCATCTTTACAGGTACTCAATAGAGGCACTCTTTACTAAAAAACAGAAAACTATTTGCCCAACAGGATTTGCTTCATTCGAAGCCCAGTAATAAAAGTCAGTAATATATATTTTCCTAGCTTTTACTTTCAACTGATGTCTCATTAAACCGATCAGTCAAAAGAATGGCTTAATTGTGTAGTAGGGCCATACCCAAAATATCCAATTACATTTCTTCAATTAACTTTCACTAGCTGATGTTTATAAGTAATTTAGTGAAATTAGGTGAAGGTTAAATTACTGTAGCAATCAGAGGTGTGTTTAAGTAGTAAAATATAGAGAAGGAACACTTGTTCTAATAGATATGCATATTAACACCATTGCCCTTAGGATATATAACATCAACCCTTCCCAATTAATATTAGTAATAAATCTTCATGTGCCACTGCTTCGGACGCAAAACCGCATGATGTATACTCAGCCATTTCAACAAATTAGCTCTCCATATATAGATTTTTAAACTATGCCCTTTAAAGTTGTACTCCATTTATCTGCTTATAGCCTCAATTTGTGTTTCTAGCCCTAATAATTCTTTTGAAATTTGCACCTAAACTTCTAACTTTCAACTAATTATTACTTCTCAGTCAAAAGTGTTCCTCAGAATTTTCTAAACTGAGCTTTTCAGTTTCCTTTCTCATGAATTCTTGATTTGCATATAGAATGTTGTCTTCTTCTAAAACAAATTTTATACATCCATATGTCTCCCCAACTTTTTTAGTTGGTTCCTAAAACCTATTTTTTTCCAACCACAAAAGTATTTGTTTCTCCACTTTATCTCCAAAAGCATTTATTAGAATCTATTTTAGGAATTATTCAGTAAAGCCCATTTGAGAAAATGTGAAAAATACAAATAAGTCCCAACAAAATAAAATGATCTTTACCTCCATAATTTGAATTACTTGCCTTAATATATTCATGTATAAACTATCATTTCTTATGTGCAGTCATAAACATATTTAACAACATGTCATTCAACATGCTAAGTTTCTTCTGGTTTTAGGGTTTTTGTATGAGTTGTGTCCTTGGACAGTACTTCTAATATATTTGCATTGTTATATATTTAAAAACCTTGTTAGCCCTGGCAGGTTTGGCTCAGTTGTTAGAGCATCGGCCCGCAGACTGGAGAGTCCCAGGTTTAGTTGCCGCTAAGGGCACGTACCTCGGTTGCAGTTTGTCCCCGGCCCCAGTTGAGGTCGTGTGGGTGGCAACCACGCGATGTGTCTCTCTCACATTGATGTTTCTCTCTCTTCCTTCCTCTCTCCCTCCTGCTCTACCTGAAGATAAATGCAAAAATGTCCTCGGGTGAGGATAATTAATAAATAAACAAACCTTTTTGATAACATATAAGTGTGCATCATATTCTTTCATTATGATAACTCTGTCTTTTAATTTAGTGAGTGTAAACTATTACATTTGTTATAATTATTGATAAGTCTGGATTTTGTTTTGTTTGCTCTTTGTCCTCCCATTTCGTTTATTCTTTGCTTTTCCCCTTTTGGGGAGGAAAATGTTATTTAACCTTTTTTATTATTCTGTTTTAGCTTATGTTTTATGATTTTGAGCATATCCAGTTTTTTTTCTTGTGATTACTCTA